AAAAAATGTAAAAATATTCTTGTATATTATAAAACATGTAGTTTTTCATATAAGAAACAATTCTCATCAACATTAAGATCTTTAATAAATAATAATCACGGCAAATTTATTATCGGCAGTGTGTTTAAATTAATTCTTCATTATATTCTTAATATTTTAATATAATTTTATTCACAGCGTAACTAGATAAAAGTAGATGAAAGTGGACGAGAGCAGATAGTCATCTAGTTTACAATTTCTTCCCTTCAGGCCACCAATAGACGCGATGCCTGTATCTCGGGGCTGGCTGTTTGTCCGCTAATTAGAAGCTAACAGCTGAACTAAAGTTCCGAACTTTAAAGTTTCTTGCACTCGCGGAAGCCTCTTGCTACCCATTCAATATCTCCTTTTCGAGGATGGTAGAACGGCCGCCCTTTGAGAGGAACGACCTTCCTCCTTACCTGCCTAGCCGTCCACCTATCTTCCTCTCTCTATTCCGTTGCTCCGGCTACCGGCTAGCGTTAATTACTAATTAATTGTTTCGTGTGTTTGAGTTTTAAATGGATAAGTTAAACAGCGCGTAAGAGCCCCCGACGTGGGCAAGGTGGCGTATAGCGGCAGTCTACCCTTCTTTTTCCCTCTGTCCGTTCCTCTCGCCTCGCGTACGATTACCGTACAAACAGTGTACTACCGGTTAACGAAGTTAGGATGACCGTGTTAGGGTGGGAGAAGGGAAGCAACACTCGTTCGTTTATTCGTTTTTCACCCCGTCATCAGAACACCGTTGCCCCGCTTCGCCTTGCCTCACGCTTCGCTTGCCTCACGATATAATATCTCTATTACGACGCCAAACCATCACCAGCGCGTTTAAAGTTACGTCCGATCCAACGAATACGGATGTAACTTTCATAATACAGCGACTTTGTCAAAAGTTGCAGCTAGTTCTCGTAAAATGTGTAACACAATATAGATTTTACGTTGAAATGTAGTCTTAACCCTTCTTTATTTACATGAGGTATTCAGATATCTTATCTTTATTATGTTCAGTTAAATTGTTTCGTAATGGAAAAAAATTTTCATATTTATTTTTATCTATAGAATATGTAGAATATTATGAATCTTTTTTACTTGTCAATCAA